CTTCAAGACGCCTCCTGTATGGAGAAACTAGTGGCATGCATTGCTCAGGTGTGATTTTGGCCCATTCTTCCACACAAATTACTGAGAGAGTTCAGCTGGTGTCTTGGCTTTCCATGCCTTTTTACACCTCCCTTTCTTCATGTGTTCAATACTTTTTCCCTGTGCCATTCCACATGATTACAAATAACCATTTCTGGACATTTATTGTTTGATTTCTTTGTATGTATGGATCACTTGGGTTGTTACCGACATCTGGTGAAAATTTCATGTCATTAGCGCCTCTAGTAATATATTTACTGAGAAAAATGGTGACGTGTTCAATACTTATTTTACCTGCTGTACATTGCTAAGGCATTTATTCATTATATTTTGACAAAATGCTATTTTTGCACACGTTTAAATCAAATCCCTCTGTGTGCCTATTTCTCCACATTTATGCTTTTTAATTTGAGTTTTCTGGCTCCAGTCGGTTTGATCTGTCGGCTGATGTCTCTGCTCTCGGCTCATGTTCTGCTGCAGCTGCTGAGGGAGGTGGGGGTCCGCACAGACCTGGTTCCTGTGGGCAGGGAGGTGGCCGGTGTTGTCCTTCAAGGTGAGACAGTTAGAACCCTGTGCCACTGCAGCTGTGTGAGCGCTGCCTGCTTCACCTGCTTCACCTGCTCTGTTTGCCCCACAGTCGGCCCCAAGGTGACCTTCTTCCAGCCGGAGGACGAGGTTGTGGGTGAGAAACCTGCTTCTAATAAAAGCCTGTTAACTCTGACGTTTAGAGCCAATCAAAAACTGAAAATACTTCATGTTTATCACTCAGTGCTCAGACCTGATCACCAGTCAAACGTGTGGACCAGCAGAGCCATGTTTCAGCTCGTCTGAATGCTAAAGCTAAAAAAATATTTGTCTTTTAACGTCAAAAAACTCTTTAAAAACTCAGTGTTTTGTTGTTACTGAACATTTGGAGTCTGGATCAAATAAAAGTAGAACAATGTGCTGAACTGTAGAGGAATCAACTTCTAGTGAGAACATCTGATTTAACTCAACTGTTTAAGTTTCAACAAGCAGAATGGAAGCTGAAATCACAGAACTAGCTGAAAGCTAAACTGTAGCTAAAGGTTAAATCTAATAAAACTAGTTAAAACATCAAATTGGATCAATTGTAGCTAAAATCTAAATTAAAAATCTGAAATTAGCAAACTTTTGCTGAATTAACTGAATAGTAGCTTAAAGCTAAAGTTGGAAGCTTAAAGGAGCCTCAGAAATCAAATGTTTTAAGGGAATTAAAATGTATGTTGATAAATAAAGTTTAAAAAAGGCATAGACCTATTTTTCATTGATTAAACACGAATAAATAAATATTTTGATGCAAACTGATTAAAATAGTGTTTGAAATGCAGAAACTGTTAGATTGTTAGACAGAAATAACTGGAAGATAAAAGTTTCTGTTGTTCCTCTGCTGACTGCAACTGATAAAAGATCTTTTCTCTGTATTTAGTTTTATATATTATCTACTTTTGCCGCAGGTATCCTGCCTCTGGACTCCTCCCACTCTGGACTCTGTGAAGTCATCGATGTAGAAGAAAACTACTTGGGTAAAACCCACACAATTCATCTTTTCATCTTTGTGTACTTTCCAAAATAATTCAGGACACTTCTCACAAAAAAAAATAAAATCTGGAAAACATTTCTTTGTTCAGATTTAAAGGTTTCTCTGATCTAAAATGAAAATAGTTTTCTAGTTCCAGCTAAAACTCGTTGTAACAGTTAGTTTTATGTGACCAGTCGTCCGTTTCTCATCTACACTTTGAATGTTGTTTATTTGGTGTAAAGTAAAGAGCTGCAGGCGTGTTGCAGAAATGTACAGTGCTTTGCAAAAGTATTCATACCCCTTGAACTTTTCCATATTTTGTCACATTACAACCACAAACATAAATATATTTCACTGGAATTTAATGTACTGAGAAATTCTCCTCTGGGTTGAAATGACCTGTCATGGCCTAAATAGAGTTCAGTTTTTGAC